TTACGGATGTAAAGAGCAGATCATTGGTATATGCTGTGATACAACTGCAAGCAATACAGGTGGAGTAAATGGAGCAGTCCAAATTTTTACAGATATTTTGAAATTACCAATTTTGTGGATAATGTGTAGGAGACACATATATGAAGTACATGTATCTCACTATATGGCTGCCCTTACTGGTGAGAAAACTAAAGGTCCAAGAAGAGCTCTTTATGTCAAGCTAAAGAACAAGTGGCCTGAAATCTGTGAGAAAGTGAATGAAGTGAAAAATTTATGTAAATTGGACTGGCAAAGAGATAATCTGAAGATTGGATCTGTTCTTCGCACTGTTGCAGAGGAAGCTAAGACATTTCTGACTAATGCAACTACTGATATAGTGTTTTCAAGGAGTGATTATGGTATAGTTTGTAAGCTTGCCTCCTTCTTCCTTGGAGTGGAAGTACAAGATTTTAAGTTCCATCAGCCTGGCGCCTGCCATGAGGCAAGGTTTTTAGCAGATGCGATCTACATTCTGACTCTTTATATGACTAAAGATATCAGTAATATCTCGACAGAAAAAGAAATGCTGCAGTTGAAGGATGCAAGTTTGTTCATTGCAATTTGCTATTTTCCATGGTTTTTAAAAAGTTTTTTAGGATTTCTGGCTCTTTACAATGATTTGAAAGCTATCCAGGCTTGGTCGGGAAGCGGGAGCGATCGCTCTCGAATACTGACCACGGAAATTATATTTAGATGCGTAAAACTGGCCAGGTTTTTTAGTCGTTTTGAGAACATTTAAGTTTATGTACGAAACAAAGAATTTTTGTTTTACGGACATACATGGAAACATAAAAAACTTGTATGTTCTCGAAACATTGTGCGAAAGAATAAAAAGAATATTTGCGAACACTAAAAACCCGCCAAATTAACAAACAAACTTATTCTATTGGTTCAAAAAATACGCTGATTAAGCGAAATAAAGTTCTAGAGTATTCTGCTAAAATGTTTTAGAAATTGTATTATTCACGATAGCATTGTTTTAAGAATATATATTATTTGTTTACGAAAATAAATGTTTTAAATATATATTAATCAAATTGTTAAAGTTTTAAAAGTTTATTATAAATCATAGATTTTATTAGTATATTCTTATTTTTTATTTTAAAAGAGATTGTATTCTTTATGTAAATGTAATTTTGTATTTGTTTTTTATCGTAATGTATCTTTTAAAGCAAATTTTATGATTTTAACAAAGACTTACAAAAATAATTGCGTTTTCAATGAAGTTATAATCGTTAAAGTTAAAACTAATTATGTAACAAACATATAAGAAGTTTCTGGTTACTAAACACAAACAACGCATACAAAGTAACTCGCGGATTAACAAGCATCGCGCCTGAGGTCACGACAGAACACAAATATATAATAGCAAATAAATAGATATAAAGAAAAGTTTCTAGATATTGGTTTACTAACTCTAATTATTTTCGCTTAAGTTGCTATTCTTAAAACTCGTTATTCTTTTTTCTGCTTTAAATACTAATTAAAATTAAAAAGCCCACTCACTAAACATCATCACCGATATTGTGAAGCAGTTTTGCTTCCTGGTCATTAAGTATTTTTAACCTTTTTAGTTGATTTTTATCTTGATAATTTAATTCCTATAGTAATTCAATGATTTAATTATTTCATTTGTTTATCTTACTAAGAAGACTCGCTTCGAATATGTTAAACTTTTCAAACTACGCGAAACATAAAATAGGTATTAAAAAAAATTAACTTTTTTATTTATAAAATAATTTAGCTTAAGTAAAACTAAAACTTGCAAACTTAGTTAAATAAAGAATATTTGTTTCCTTTTTTAACAATCGTAAGTTGTTACTTTATATAAAAAACATTGCTTAATTTTATAAAAAAAAATTATAAAAAAGCGATGTTTCGAAAATATTTGTTCTATATGAATTTTATTTAGCTTAAAGTTTTTTTCGCGTTTAAAGATATTTTATTTGCCTACTTTTTTTTTTATTTGTAATTGTCTCTCATCAGTCCAATTAATCTTCGTCGCTTTTTTTTTGCTTTTAAAAATGTTCTCAAAACGACTAAAAAATCTGGCCAGCTTTTCGCAACTAAATATTATTTTCGTGGTCAGCAATCGAGAGCGATCGCTCCCACTTCCCGACCAAGCCTGGCTATCCAGACAGTCTATGCATTGAGAAAAATTAGTAAGAATATTGAAAATGCTTTGCTTCTCAGCATGGGACGCCATACGTGGTATTTAACTCCGCAACTCTGTGTTTTTTCCTTTGGGGATAAAGAAGTTCCTTCTGAAACAAAGCTAAGAATGCTGTTAGCTTTGATTGAGTTTGAAGAGCCAAATGAATTTCAGCGTTGTAAACCATCAAATGTACAAATTGGAGAGACCACAGAGCTACCTGAGTTGATTTCCGAGCAAAGCTACCTTCTCTTCAAACATTTTAAAATATCAAGAGCAAGTATAAAAGAATGGCTTAATAATAGTCTTAATACTATAGATGTTTTTAACCATCCTCAGTTGCTAGATTTTATTGCATGGATCAAAAACATATCTGTTGTAAATGATGGTGCAGAAAGAAATATTAAGCTCATTAAAGATTTTATTTCAGCTACAAGAGATGAAGATCACCTTCAAAATGTACTTTTTGTAGTTAAAAAGTCTAGAAAAAACTTGACTAAGACTATGACTAAAAAGGAGCTTGGGAACTGTTCAAAAAGTTGTATTTTTTGAGAAATGTTTCACCGCAATAAAATCTTAAATTTGCTAATAAATATTAGTTTTCATGTATTTTTTTTGTATTTTTATATTTATAAATATAATCTATCAAGTTAAATAGTAGAAAACAATTGGAAATGATTTATGCCCATCTAATTGTTCTGTTTTAATTTTCTAAAATGTGTTTTCTATTAATGTTAAGCTAGCTTAACATTAAAACAGTAAAACTCAAATTTTACATCTAGCACTTCCTGTCAAAATAAAACCGTCAAATTTTTTTTAGTACTTATTTAGGTCACATAGAATGGGAATCAGTAAAGAGCTTTTTTTTTTTTTTTGGGACACCCTAGTGTGTATATATATATATATATACACACACACACACACACACATCGAGTTAAGCAAATACAAATTACAATATCTGGAAATATTTATGGTTTTCGGTTTATCAAAATTAATTTTTTTCGCTTTATTAAATCCATTATTGCTGTTTTTATCATAAAATTTAATAATCAGTATTTAATAAAATAATTTTTATCCATGGATCTAGAAACTATAGTATAAAACCTGTTAATTTAAAACTCAAATAAATTATTTATACAAATAATCATTAAACAATAATAGAATAATAAACCAAACAAAACAATATTAAAAAAAGTAAATAAAAGTAAAAAAAAAGTAAAGTTGTAGTTGCCTGACAGAATTTAGCATCATGCAGGATGCAATAACTAACTAATCTTATTAAGTTTTATTTGTATCTAATTTATAATAAAAATAAAGATAGTTATATCTAAAAATATATGTTTATCTTTATTATCAATCAAATAATTTAAAATGTTCAAATCTTTAAAATTGTAGCTTCCTGCAATAAAAAATAAGCAATTATTTTATTGGTTGATTTTAAAATTAGCAAGTTAAAAATTAATTATAAATACATTTTAAAGACAATTTATTTCTATAAAAATAAAAACATATATAAAAATAAAGAAAAAAAAAGTTATAAAAATAAGTTTTCTTGTTTGTTTTTTTTTTGGTCTAACCGTTGCCACAAGTCAATGTGACAAAGTTAATGTGGTACGGTGTTAAGTTGAGTTTTTAGTTTTTGATATCTAAATTGTACCTGTCCAAATAATCAGTCAATGTATTACTGCTCTGCAGTAGGGTGTAATGAAAAACAACTTTTTTTAAATATGAAATTATAATAGAGGAAAAGTTGTATAATGCTTAAAAAGTAATTGTGCCAAATTTTGTTATATATTTTTTATGTCTTCAGTTTGCGCTAAGGTTTTATTTTTCTTACAAAAACATGTTTCTGACCTTTTTTACAAATTAAAAATAACAAATTCTATGCATTTACTAGAGTTGTAATAGAGTTTAAACATTACAAAATGACAAAGTTAGAAATCGTTACAATTTTTAAGAAAATATTTTAAAGTCTTGCACAAATGAAGCCGTCTTTATTAGCCAAACCGCAAACTTGATCTGAAGCTTTGGTTACATTTCATAGCATTTTCCATGTCATACTACTTAAGTATGGTATCAAAAATGCTGCACATCTGGAAGATAAACATTTGGTTAACATTTCAATTAAATTTTCATATGAAATATGAGTGATAATCAGAGGTTCAATTTAATTCACATTTTTTCCAATCAATTAGGTATATATAGTCTTTTGCTTTAAAATTGATTTCTGGTATAGAGAATCTCTATTCCAGAAATCAATTTATTTAGCTTTAGATCAAGTTTGCAGTTTGGCTAGTAGAGATGGCTTCATTCGTGCAAGACTTACATTGCGAAAAATAATGCCTTTATTCAACACAAAAAGTCAGTTTGAGACAGATCCAAATGAATCAGATAGTTGAACTTTATTACAGCTAAACTTTTCACATTTTTCAAAAAGATTTTCCACTCAATTAAAACTTTAGTTGTACATTATGGACTGCAGAGCTTGTTTGCCAGAAACTCATGGAGCAGTGTTTTTTCATAAAAACTCAGCCTTGTAGCAGCAACTGACGACTTAAAATTTAAAATTTTGTAAAAAAGGTCAGAAAACATGTTTTTGTAAGAAAAATATTGCGCAAACTGAAGACATAAAAAGTATATAAAAAAATTTGGCACAATTACTTTTTATAGCATTATGAAACTTTTCCTCTCTATTACAATTTCAAATTCAAAAAAAGTTGTTTTTCGATACGCCCTACCCGGCAGTACATACATCGCAATACAACTCATAAGATAGGACATAACAAAACAAAACAAAATTATAAATTACCTGACTTTTATTAACATGGTCATTTGGATGCACAGGGGACTTGGTTCCAAGAGGTTGTCCTAACATTTCATTAGCTCTATTACTAATAACTTCGTTAACATTCATGTTACTTTGTGTACCAGAACCAGTTTGCCAAATGACAAGAGGAAAATGATCTTTCAATGAACCATTGATAATCTAATAAAAAGAACAATGTGTTAAATTTTTAAATACTTTGTACATTTGTTGTAGTAATTAGCTTATATCAGTAATTATCAAACTGGAATCTTCTTAAGAGTCTGTTGTCTTCTTGTGTTTCAGTGTAATAAAAACTAATAATGTATTATAGGAGATTATATAAGATGTAAATATTGCAAAATAGTTACAGATATAGTACAAACACAAAAGATAATGACATATTAAAGTAGTATAGATAATTCTAGTAATATATTGTAGCACCATATACCTAAAACATATAATAAATAGCCTAGACTTTGTATATATTATTTATGGCCCCAATGTGTTCAATTAATTTAAATACTCAGGTCTTGTGATGAATAAAAAAATACTTAATGCATTTGCATAACAAAGTTTTTGATGTCATAAAATTCGTTTTACTTGCTTTCTTAATTTATTGAAATAAACTTTTTTAAATTACGAAAATTTACTAAATGACCACAAAACTAGTTTAGTTGAATAATTAACTGAAAACAATGTAGAAATGTTATTTTGTGATATTGTTACTGAATGTTTATTTATAATTTTTTTAAATATAAAAATATTTGTTTAGTTTCTCTACATTATTTTGTTTAGAGTCTTAAAGGGATCCTAAACTCTCAACACATGTTGTGTTCATATTAAAGATAATGTTAAAAAAAAAAGGTTTGAAGCAAGTTTTTTTGATTAAAAATAAATAATGAATGCATACCAAGAAAAACTAATGTTGTTGTTGCCGAAGCTTGCCTTTTTCATTTTATTCAATAACTCGGAGTCTTTAAATTATATGTCGCAATCTATTGACTTTGGCGATTCCTTTGAAGCGCGTATAATTCATAAAAATTTTAGTATTTGACGTCACAGTAGACTTTTGACAAATGAAACTCTGGAAAAAATTTTATTTTTATTCATAAATTTTTTCATTATTTGTTTCCAATTTTAACATTTAAAAAGATATTATAAACCTCCGATTTTTATGCTTGTTTGTTGCTATAAATTGTTATTGCGCTATATTTAGTGTTAATAATTGATGAAGTATTTATTATCTCAATCGAGATTCTGATAAAAAATTGTTTTATAATAAATACCCGTATAAAATGAGTTACAGCATTTTTATTTGGTTAGACGATATTTCGTCTGATTTTGCTTTTCATGAAGTTTGGGGAGTCAAACAAAAAAAATTAGTTTGAATAATCACGTCGAAATATATTTAAAACAAATTATTTAATGACGGTAGTTCTAAAGTTTTTTACAACAAATGTAGGTAAAAAATAAGTAACTAAATAAAAAGATTAACATTAACCATCTTTTTTTTTTTTATATTGCAACTGTAAATATTAAAATATTAACTTGAACTAAATTTCCTTATTATTTAGAATAACTAAGCAATAAAAATAAAAAGCCTCTAAAATCATGCGATATTGTGTTGTTTATTTGATAATGTTGTTGGTAATATTGTTCATGTTGATTATTTTCATTAATATCTAAATAGTCCCAGATTAAACTGTTAGTTGCTTTGCTTGTTGTTGATTATTTTTCTAATTTAATTTTATCTCTAAGTTTAATTCAATGTTAAGAAAGAAAAGCTTTTATTTCATTGACCGCTCTTTTTATAAAAGAGTAGAACAAAAGAGAAAGAAAAGTTTTACGTAATTAAACTTCGAATGAATAAGAGTTGTATAGAATTTTTTTTTTTTTTGCGTCAATCATTTTTTTTTTTTTATGAGAGAAATAAAAGTTTAATTGTAACTTTTCATTAATAAATGAGAATTGGAGATGAAAATTGCTTGAAAACTTGTATTTGTCAATTTTGTTAGTTTTTCCTTGTTAATAGACAAATGCCAAATACGACACATAAATTGGGAAATACCAAATATAATATGTTTTTTAATGCGCATTACTACATTTTGACAATTTAAATTACCATCTATCTCGAATTATTACCATTAATTAACATTTAATTATTGCGTTACTTAATAATAATTTGTCAGCATTTTTGTTAAATCTTAGTTGAATAAAACGGACAAAAATATACAAACTTTATGTTTTTAATTTGATAGTTATAAAATATTGAACAGTAAACTTATAATCAAAATTTATAATTGTACTGCTATTAATTGTACTTGTAATGCAAAACCAGGATCTCACATATCCTTTCACGAATTTTCATATCTTATAATAAAAATTTAACAGTTCATCAAATATCTCTAATTAATACTGTCAGTTAATGAAAGTAATTGTTAATACTTTTTTTCGACGGAAAAACAAAAAATGTCATTGCGTAAAAATGACCAGAGAAGTTAGAAAATAGTTCCCATTGTTTAAATGAAAATAAGTAAGATTCAGAATATATAATACTGCGCTCTCTTGCACAAAAACAAAAGACTGTATTTTTAACGTTCTATATAATGTAAAATACTAGTATTGTGACGGGATAACTCAGATGGTTAGAGCGTCAAAGGAAAAAACCCGGACTGTTGAACGATATGAGTTCAAATCCCGCCACCACCAACTCAGTGCTTGAGCAGTACTTCGGTACGCAAAAATGTTGGTCAATTACAGACATTACTTTGTATTAGTCTTAATGACTATTTGTGGCTGTTCCTATGCTAAGCCAATAATATCTCTGGATATAAGAAAATTGTATAGGAAAATATAGCATGAAAACTTAAAAAAAAAATTAAAAAGAATGAAAACCATAAGATTGGTAAGTAAAGCTTTAATATTTGTTTTAATTTAAAAACAAAAGTAAGATATATAAATCGAAAAATTATTAAGATATCTGTAAAAAATAAGTTGCTCCTATAAAATAAAAATAATTTATCATTTTTTGCTTTTAACAAAAACTCTTTTGCGATGTTTGGAAAAATAATACAAACAAATTTGTTTTGCCGTATGTTAAAAAAATACTACATCGTACTTTTTGAATTAAAGTAGAAAAACACAGCTTTGTTTAATTACACTTTTCATTTGTTAAAATTCTACCATGACGTCAAATACTAAAACTTTTATGAATTAAACGCGCTTCAAAGGAATGGCTGAAGTCTGAAGATTGTGAAGTATAATTTGAAGACTCAGAGTTATTGAATAAAATGGAGAAGGCGAGCTTCGGCTAAAACAACAACATTAGTTTTACTCAGTATGCATTCATTATTTATTTTTAATCAAAAAAACTTGCTTCAAACCTTTTTTTTTAACATTATCTTTAATATGAACACAGCATGTGTTGGGAGTTTAGGATCCCTTTAATAAAGACTACAAACAATTTATAGATCAGTTATTAATAAGATATTTGTAAAAATAGTTTATGTTTGTAAATAAATTTTATTTTCTCTTCAACAAAAAAACTTCTTTGTTAAAACAAAAAATAAAGTTTTTTGGTTGTTTTCACATGTTTTAAATGCAAATGGAATTGCTTTAACAAGTTTTTATCTATGATAAAGAGACTAACGGTTTTATATTTACAACTAGTTTGCAAATAATAAGAAATATTCTTAAATACTAAATAATACTTTTAAAAACAAACCTCGTCACATGCTTTAGAAATATGCATTGCAATATTTTTGTCAAGACCAAATTCAATGTTAACATCACTTGCAGCTTTTTTCAAAATACCAAATGCTTTAATTATAGGTGTCTGAAAAATTTAATTAAAAACCTATATGTATGCTTCTTACCTTCTTTTCAATTAAAAATAAATAATAGACACAACTAATTGTTAAAACTTTGATAACTGCACACTTTCTGTGAAACAGAAAACATAAGTTTCTAATAACTAAAAATTTATAAATATACAAATATATGTGTGTGTGTGTGTGTGTGTGTGTGTGTGTGTGTATATATATATATATATATATATATATATATATATATATATATATATATATATATATATATATATATATATATATATATATATATATACATATATATACATATATATATATATACATATATATATATACATATATATATATATATATATATATATATATATATATATATATATATATATATATATATATATATATATATATATATATTAGGGTGCATCCAATGCCCTCATGTCAAAGAATTGTCTTGTCCCCAGTCCCAAAACGTTCCATTGGACCTTAAATGAAAAACATCATCCAAATCCCTCTTAGAACAGCTGCTCTAAATATAACCACAAAGACATTGAACTACAGAGACAGCCAATTTCAATACTTGTTTCTAAAATAAAACCGCTGACAATAACAAAAAATAATTCCCACGGAAAACGATAGAAAAACACACATTGAGAATTACCTAACTCTTTTCGCGGAGACAAAAGAAGCTCTGATACGTAAATAGAACAATAGACCATTGAAAACTTATAACAATAGAACAATGGAATTTCTAAAAATAGAAATTTTATATTTTCATGTGCGCACATTTTGTTCCTATTAGATATCTGCTAACAAGCGAAGAAAAAACAACTTTTGCGTTCAGAAATATTTTTTCGTGATTATTTAATAAAAAAAATGCAAATTAACGACAACAACAACAACGATGGCATCGAATAATTACATAAATATATACCCTACTACAACACTCAGCAAAACGGTAAAAAAAACATTCAATTTATCACATTTATGTACTTATTAATGCTCTAACCCTCAACACCCCACTATAATTTAGTACTCACCTTAACATCAACCGCCACTAAAATTCATTATTGGAAGCACCCCATACACATTATTAATTCACCATTGAAAGCACCCCATAAAATTCACCATTGAAAGCACACCATACACATACATATTTAGAATTTATTATAGAATCCAAACACACCAAAAGATATTCCTTACACAAGACGTGTTCCAAAATCAAGACGTTCTCATGAACTCATAAATTAGAGTTAGAAATAATAGGGCACAGTACCACCTCAGCACCCGAAGACAAAAAAGGAGACAAAACACAAACAGATGAAAAACTAAGTGACAACCAAATGCTAGAAATGGTAGGATTTAGTACAAACCTTTACACTAAAAACACCTTAAAAACCTAAAACTATTAATTATTCCCTCATACCCAACCCTCTTAGCCCGACTCCGTTATCTGGAAATTGTGTGTTTATATATGTATGTACTTTGTTTGTGTACTTCATTTGTGTGCGTTTGCATATATGTATGCATTCATCTGTATATGTATGCAGACATAAACAGATGTATATGTATGCACACCCTACCCTGTTACCCTGTTAGCCTTATTCCATTACCCGACAACTGTATATATGGATGTATGTATAGACCTCTGTTTTATACATAGTAGTGTTCATACAGATATATTTGTGTGTGCATATACATGTGCACATACATTTATATTTGGATCCATACTCTCGCACCCAACCCCCTCTACTTCACTCTGTAACCTGATTTATCTGTTTTATGTGTAGTGGTACTCACATAGGTATATTTGTATTTGCATGTGCATATGTTTGTGTATTTGTATGCGCATATGCATTATGTGTTCATATGTTTATGCATTAGATGTGTATACATGCGTATGTAGAATTGTGTTCTTGTATGCGTGTGTGCATACTTCTATGCTTAAACTGATTCTCCCATACCCAACCCCCCTAAGATTCTGAATCAACTCTCTCAATACCATATAATTGCGTGAGAACATATTATAATGATCTACACTATTCTGTATAACCTTATAATGCTCAATACGCACACCAGATAAAATGGGAGATTCCTCGGATATGAGTTCATCACATATCTAAACCTAACATGGTAACTAAGCTGTAGGCCATGGAGTTATTTTAGACTTTAACTTCTTCAAAACAAGTTTAGACATTCTGACATGGCCCTGACAATATAAAGGTTTGTCACATACCACAACTTTTGACCATTATGATGACCTCAACCCCAAACTCCACTCGTGCGGTACCTTCCCCATCGACTTGTTTACTTTTATATTACAATTATTTCTACTACTAATTTACTAATTTATTACTACTATTTACAATGTTTATCACTATAGCTTTATAGCATACGTACTATCCATATCGGATATATTATACACGATATATATAATATTCTAGATATACATAAGTCTCTCTATAAATAATATAAGGAACTTATTTGTTTACCTAACAAGCATCACACTGCCCTGAACCCAACACCACTTAGCCCAACTGAGTTGCTATAATTTTACTGCAAATAATTCTTACAAAAATAGCAACAAACCGCACACTTTCATATATCTTATAAACATATGTTAAAACATCTTATAAAATACTTCTAACACTCCGCAACTCAATCTTTAAAATTTAAAACCCACCCTAAGCCATATAAGAATACAACCCCCTAAACCACAACTAAAATCAACAAGGCCCACCTATACAGACACCACAATATGATTACCCCACTAAATTTTACACCCCTTAACCCAACTTTTTGGAATATTAACTAGAGGTAAAACGAATATTTCCATTATAAGAGTGCATGTTTTTATAATACAAATTCTCTATAACAATCAACTCCACTAAACGGTATGAACTATAATTGAATCTGTGCTAGGTTAAACAAAACTGTAATTAAGTAAAAATAAAACAACTTCTAATATATTCAATCACATTTACGGCTAAATATGTTCCACTAGTGACTATACTTACTTGTTCTAATTGCGAACCTTGTTCTAATCGGAACTGAACAATACTGAAAGTCAAATTATTAATGAACACACAGATTATTATGAATAAAGACATTAAATGACACATAAAACATTAAAATTTACAACAGTACATAACACAAAACACAATAACTTACAGTTCACTGAAACAACAATTAATTAAATACAGGCCTTGTTTTAAAGCGTTACGCCTAGAGCGATTTACGTACGCCTTAAGCGATTTTTACATACGCGTAGAGCTGTTTTGGTTAAGCTACTTTTTATCATTTTTTAACTTTTAAATTAGCGGTAACATTAAAGAAGTAATTAATTTTTAAAAAAACCACATTAACTTTTAAATAACGATATGTAAAGATATTTATTGAAAAAAAGAATTTACTTTAAAAATAATTGTTGTAACTTTTCATCGCGATATTTCTTTCCTTTTTATAGCAATTAATTTGAAGATAAACTTTTTATCCAAATATTTAGCAACATGAAAAATTGTTTGTCAATCCTTAACTACAAATTTTTTGCAATGTTTTTAATAAAAAGTATAAATAAATTTTAATAAAAAGTATAAATAAAAGTATAAAAAAAGTAAAATTTTTTTAAAGTTTTCAGTAAAAATCTTTAAAAAAATCTATATTCCATATTTATTAATACAGAATATAAATATTTGTTGTAATATAGATTTTTTAAGAATTTTTTACTGAATTTATAATTAAAAACATTTGCAAAAAAATTTGTAATTAAGGATTGACCTTTTTTTTAATATCTCAAAAAATGTTTTAATATTTTTGTTATCATGATAACAAAAAAATAGACATTTTTGCGAGATATTAAAAAAAAAAGTCTTTGCTTTTCTAATTAGTTAAAGGTATATAGATACCTTTACCTTTAAGATATGCAGGGGAGGGGGTCGGCACAGAAAAAAAAAAATTACCTGTTACTCGCAATATTTGAATGAAGACAATTTGTTAAATTTCTTCTGCGTGTGATTCAATAATTTTTTTTCATAAATCAAGTTATATTTTAAGGTAAAGAAATCACGAGTAGGCTATAACATCCGCTTATGACACTAATATTACGTTGAATATATTTATATAACGGAAGTTTCATTATGCACGCGCACATTACAGATTCCGTTAAATAAATACTAAGACACGTTTTAGTTTAATGACAGTCTCTATTTTTTACTAATGAATATGTATTTTTCTTGATAAAACAAGACAAACTAGTATATAAAAACCTTGTATATTTCTATTCTCTCTCAATTGTTTAAATTTCAAATATGGATTGTATTTAAAGGGACAAAAGATTTACTTTAAAAACTTTTAAATATTGGGACTTTGCCGATGCTTTGCCGATGCAATGATCATAAAAAAAAAAAAGAGAAGACTTACGTTATTAAAATCAAATGTAAGTTATGTGATCTTCATCAAAATAAAATATTATCCAAAAACAATGGTGCTGTAAGGGCAACTGTCCAACGGTTTATAAATAACACAAGTCATGTTAAAATGTTTCAACATGTTACTATATTTTAATTAAGTTGATATACAATTAAAAATAAAAATATAGTTCAATAAATAAATTAAATTTGTTCTTAACAAAGATTACCTCATATTTTTTTTATTTTTTTTTATTTTATTAATTAAACTGCTTACAAACGAAAAAGAAAAAGAGTTGTAATTATACGCAGAATGAAAATACTTTTAAATTAGTTTAAAAAAATTAAGTTAAGGAACTTTTAAATAAACAAATTTTTACGAACGTTTATTATAAACAGATACGATTCAAATTATTAAATATACTAAAATTATTTCAGTTGAGTATTTTTTTTAAGTTTGCACGATTAAAGTTTGGCGTAGAAGTATTTGTTTTTTTGTTTTAAGAATAATTAACAAAAGAGTTTGCATAATTAAGACTTTTATATTTAATTTAATTTTTTTTTTAAATTTCCTAAAATTTAAAAAAAAAAAAGATTTAATCGTTAAAAACGATTTTTCTCTATAGCTCTGTTTCTTTGTGATTTGTTTAAAAAGTAAAATATTTGTACAATAACATAAAAAATTTATGAATTAAATTCCTGGCGAGCGCGTTCTAAACTATGTATCAAAAATATGCTCATAGCAGACAAAACTTTTTTATATTTTTATAAAAGGCAAGTTGAAACGCTAAGCAAGATAAATTTGAAAAATATTAAAAAACCTAAATTTTTCTTTGCTAGTAAAAAAAAAACGTTGTTTAAATAATTAACATGGGTTTGTGTTTATTAATGTTAATATTTTTTGTTTACTCTAGAAATTTTTAAAAATAAAAAAAATCATTACTATTTTTTATTCAATAACGATTAAAAACAATTATTCAAAAACAAATTTCAGAAATAATTAAAAATATATATATATTTTACAAAATAAAATTGAACTAAAATTAATAATAAAATAACAATTAAAAACATTACAAAATTTTCATAATAAATTTACATTTAAAACGTTTATAGTTATTTGAGTTAGTTGTTAAATTGAACTAGTTTGCGGTTATTTATTTATTGCGGTAGTAAACACTTAACGTCTATAAAAAAAAATAAAGATAATTTTATGACGTCAAAATCGCGTTAAGCTATTGCATTAAGCACTTTTTTATTTAAAACAAGGCCTGTAAATATAACATAAACACTCAGTTAACTCTAACTTAATCACTGAATAATACTCCCCTTTCAAACACCATCTCTCAATACTGGACATCTGTTCAAATATTATAATTTATTTAGCACTTCCTTGCACTTATAAAAAATATTTTTTCCTTCTCTGAAGACTGTTACAGTCTGATGGTTCCATATAAGTGGTAAGGCTTTAATAACTTCCACTGCGAAACAATAAAAATCTTAAAGAAAAATGTGACATTACTACATTCAAGCTCCATATTTTTTTTGCCTTGGTAACCAGAGTTGGAGATTAAAGATCTTCAATAGCAGGCTGGGCTGATTTATAGTTTATATATTTTTTAAATTAGGAGAACTTTTATGTAAGTTACTGATAGAACACAGCCAGTTGATTTGATACAAATTTTCCAAAATTCAGGAAAACATATACTTAAATAAAAGTAAAAAAACTTAAATTAAAATAAAAAACTAAAAACTACCAATAAAAAATATATTCTGTTTGAAAACGACAGTTCTTTGTCTTGGGCATTATATTAGTTATATATTATACTTTTTAAGTAATTATTAGATGTTAATAATACTGACAGTCACAGTTAACAAAAAAAATTTTTGCATTTCAGAAAATACATAATAATTAATTCAGTAGAAATCTACGCAATATTAATAATATTTCTGTAAATGGTGAAAACATGATAACAAAATATTGAGCTATTTCAGAAAAAAAATTCAAGGATTTCCAGGATTTATTGTTAAAAGGGGTGTTTTTTCATGACTTTTCAAGGACCTATCAAATTCCAGGACATTTCCAGGTTTTCAAGGAATGCAAACCACCCTGATTTAACTTGGAAGTTCACACCTTTTGTGACAATGTTGCTAATTGGGCCAGAGCCAGCATCAAACCTCGAACCACTGGGTTCTGAGCCAGAACATTAACCACTGTGCCACAGCTGCAATGACCACTGCGACGCTACTGTAATACTTGAAGTTTTTTTTTTAATTTTCGAAACAAAACTAATACAAGTGCTATATATATCTATTATTAAAATATATATAAATTTCAGAGAAATCTATTCAAAACAAGTTGCTATAATAAAATCTAAAAAACTCAAAATAACATTTTATTTTTGGATTTAGTGAAAAATAATATAAATAAACTTGATTTTCTCCAGTAAAAACCAATAGAAGCTAAATATTGCATGCATTTTTTCAATAAATGTACTTTTCTAAGAAAAGCTTTTTTTTCTAGATTTTTCATTATGTAAAATCTATACAGTGGCATTAAAAACTTGAATACTTTATAAACTAAAATGCAGCTTAAACATTTTATTATAACCACTAAAGATAAATTAACAAAAGGAAAACCCAAACTTGTGCATAAAATTAAGATGTTTAAAAAGACTTCTACAGTAAATGCACGCATTACTGTAGAAAAAGTAAGATAACAAACAAACAGAAGTAAAATGACTAACTAAAAAAAACTAAAATGTTTTTTGTTAATATCTAGATAAATGATTTATTTTGGTCTTACCAGCTCAAAACTTATTTTCTGTTTATTTATGTATTAAATACAACTTGTCTCAGCACTTAGAGATCCCTTTAAGATGGTTTGCATCCAATCTAAGAATAAACCATTTCTAACTCTTATTCTTTGTCAGTGTGTCATTTTATAAGAAAAGAGACTTTTTCTTCTTCTATAAGGACATCGATATTCTATAAGAATATTAATGCCCTTTCTGTCTCTAGATCCTCCAACTTCAACTGTTCAAGTTAATTTGTCAACATTACACACCTAGAAGTGTCTACCAATACTGATCAATGTAGATTCTACAGCATCTTTTCTTTGACTGATGCTGACACTTTATCATGCCAACAAAATGTTCAGAGAAAAACTAGAATTACTTTGAAATCGATTCATGCAACATGCTGGTAACAGTCTTTAAATAAAAAAATTGATGGCAATGAAAGGAACTTGAATTTCAAATAGTGCTTCATTCTACTATTTGACATAAAAAAAGACTTATAAACAGAACCAAATCATTTAAGCACAAGCACAAGCTATTAAATCTGTTGTTGTTCAGTTTCAGTTCAATATTGACCTTGTATATGGCTAAGTTTGAATTGGCTAATATTCATCATCTGAAATACACTTTAACAAGGAAAGTTCACTTTCTGTTTCATTAATGTCCTATGTCATGCACTTTTCTCTTGTTGACTCTTTCTGGTTTCTTCTACTGTTGTCTTTCTACATAAACCATGCGGCAGGAAATAACTCATTGCATGCAGATCTTTTTATACTTTCTTTTTTTTGTATTTCTGTTATCATGTCTTTTGTCACAATATCAAAAAATTCTTTGAGTTCACCTTTAAATGTCTTTTTTCATCCTGATGCTTTCTCGTACTTAGTGTATCTTCAGAGTTAGTTGGCCTTAACGCAGCTCTTACAGTTTTCTGACACTAGTCACACTGCTGGGTTAGTATTGGGACATCCTAAGACAAATAACTGAATCACAAAAACTTTCTGAGAGAGTTTGTCCTTCAATTTTGAAGGAAATTGAATTACATTTAGCATACATGGTAATCTTACTATAGATAAATGAAAAACTTTCCAATTACTCTGGTTCAGATCTAAAATTGAATGAAATTTTAATTTTATTTAAAGTTTTTTACTTGAAAAGTTAAGGTTAAGAGTTCAATAAGTTAAGAGTTCATTAAGTGAAGAGTTCAATTTAAAAGCCTATTTAATATTTATTCAGTAACACTTTAAAAAAAATAATAATAATAACATGCACTTTTTGAATTCAGCACACAAGTAATTAATGTAAAAAAGTAATTAAGTAATGATATAACAGGTCAAAATCAAAGTTACTTAATCATCCTAAAATTTTTCAAACCAAATACAAAAGACAAAAACAAACCAAGTGTATCAATGATTCTACCAACATAAACTTTTGGTATAGTTTTGTTTAACTCATATCATCCCTCTATGTTAGGGTCAGCATTTGATAATGCTGACTTAACAGCCAAGCTTAAATTGTCTGAAGTTGGCATTTTTTTTACCAAACTTATTTCTGTTTTTGTAGTGAAAACTTTGTGCCTGATGCCAACAATAGTTTAAGACCTTATTTTTTCTAGTTCTGAGGGCTGTATTTATAAAAACAAGATAATATAATATTATTTAGAATACATTATTACTAGAAAATAAAAAAATGCTATAACATAAAAAATATAAAAACATCAAACTTTTAATTAAGTAGTGATTTAGTTCGCATAAAAAATTATGCATTAATCTTTAACACTATAAACAAATATTAATAACTCACTGGCATTCGCTCAGTTTCATCTCCAATGGGAAAGTTTACAACAGATCTAGCAGTTTGTGCACCATAATACTTATCTTTTGGAACTTCTATACTTCCCATAGTATCTGATTCAATGCGCACTGCAGATGATGCCTAAAAAATTTGTAGAAAATTTTTTTTATCATTTTTTATTTATCAACAACATATTTTACAACTTAACTATTTAAAACCTATTTTTTTTTGTTCAATATTTTATACCTCAATTAATTTAAAGTTTTTAGATTTCAGATTTCAAAAAATATTCAAAAAATCACTTTTAAGTTTTTAGGATACCTCAGATGAAAAATGTTTAAAAATTACTTTCAAGCTTGTACGATATAACTATACGATATAAAATATAACTATAAAAAAAATTATTTAACTTAATTTTTAACATTTTTGTCAAAAATTAGGTTTAAATCTATCTTGGATAACAGATCTTTCATTAAATAATCTATTTTTGTCTAACTTGAAACTTAGTTGGAACTTAATTGGTTTGTTTTCCAAGATAAAAGTATATATTAAGTACCTAGAAGTTGTCTTGAAATTTACTATAAAAATCTAACATAAAAAAAAAGAAAAAAAAAAGGGAAATCACAAGCAAAAAATGAAAACCAGCTAATAATTCACTATAATCAAACCTAACTGCGAATTCCTCTTTAAGCTAACATGCGCATTATTACTCATATAGCAAATAAAAAATGACAACAAATTTGGAAACTTGAAAATATTTTTGTTAATTGATTTGCTTAATTATCTTTTTAAAATTAAATGAAAGAACTCAAATGTGTTATTAATGAAAAAAAGTGAAACATCTGTAGTTCAAAAAGGACATTAGTTTTACTATATATCATATGCTGACAAAATGCAGACTTCATATGCAACTAAATGCAAAATTTTTCATTTTATATTGTGCCTCATCAATAAAAACTTATCAGAAAACCATAATAAAGCTTCAGAAGAAAAATGATATTCTGATGAGTCTTTATCGATGAAATAGAGTGAAAAAAGTGATTTTCTACTTATCTACACACACACACACACACACACACACACACACACACACACACACACACACACACACACACACACACACACACACACATATATACAGGGCTCAAATTAAGCGTATTTCGATCGTGATTGCTTTTTATACTTTCGCAACTAGTTTTTTCTTAAAACATATATTATCGCGATTGGTTTACTTTTTTAGTTGTTTATTTACTATTTTTCTAGTTTAGCTTTTTTTTTGGCAATTCTTAATGTTTTCATAGTAAAGTACGTCACACAAAGTTTGTCTTTTGAATAGAAGCATGATCACTTGCTCTTTCGTGCGGAGATTTTTATTCAACGTAAAGCACTTTTTAATTTAAATTACTTTAAATCTCTGTGTAGAAGCAAATAAAAAAGACAAAAGTTAAATATAATTTTTTCTTCATTCTATTTTTTTTAACAAAACAGCATCTTTATCTATTTTAAAAAAAAAAGTTGCTCCAAATTAACTTATTAATAATGAATTAAATTATTATTTTATAAACAATTTTAAATAATTATTTTTACTACTTTAAGTATAATAGAATATATATTAATTCGTTTTTATTAAATAAAATTTCTATTAGGAAAAATTTTACTAATAGAAACCAGCAACTTTTTTGCTTTCACGTTTTTCGCCTTAACGACCTTGAAACTATTGAAGTTATATTTAGTTAACTTTACTGAATGGATAGAGTATATCACAGTAAATTAACTTATAACCTAAATCAAAACAACCAGTTAAGTTAAGATAGTAACTTACAGTTACTCAACTATTAATTTAACAATTATATTAATTTATTTAATACACTCGCAAAAGTTAGCCATAGACATGTTTCAATTTAGATCTTAATGTTGTTAACACATAATATAAGTTTTTAACTAATAACTATTTTAACAAAAATTGTCTAATAGAATATGAAAAACGTGACACCATTTTTTTATATTTTCATTTTATTTATCATCTAGACTAAACATTTTCTATAAATACGCAAGTTGTTTTCAGGAATTTTATTTAAAAAGAAATCTATTTGAACAAGAGAACTTTAGCCTTAAAATTCACTTATTCAGATAATTTTGTAATTGAAATTGAAAAAAATAATAAAAATTTAAAAAAAGTTTGATGAAACAAGGGAGAATGAAGATGAAATTTTTTTTTTCGTAAATCATAAATTTTGTTAACGTTTTGAATTATATATTTTTTCTTGAAAATAGTTTTAAAAGTAGAAACATTCTATTGCAAATATCAAAGCAATGATTGCAAATTGCAAGTTAAAATAAAAATTATAAAAAATTTAAATTAAATTTAATAAATTATTTTACTTCTGTTCAAAAAAAAAAATTTCTAAAAAAACAATTTAAGCATATTCTTATACTTAATATAATTTGATTTATTAAACAAAATTTTTGTTTCACTTTTTTTTGGAAAACAATTAAAAAAAAAAAATTAAATGAAAACATCAGTTTAAAATTCACTTATTCAAATAATTTTGTGATTGAAATTTGAAATTGAAAAAAAATTTTAAAAAAGTTTAATGAAACAAGGGAGAATAAAGATGAAATTTTTTTTTTTGTAAATCATAAATTTTGTTAACGTTTTGAATTAAATATTTTTTCTTGAAAATAGTTTTAAAAGTAGAAACATTCTATTGCAAACATCAAAGCAATGATTGCAAATTGCAAGTTAAAATAAAAATTATAAAAAATTTAAATTAAATTTAATAAATTATTTTACTTCTGTTCAAAAAAAAAATTTTCTAAAAAAATAATTTAAGCATATTCTTATACTTAATATAATTTGATTTATTAAACAAAATTTTTGTTTCACTTTTTTTTGGAAAACAATTTAAAAAAAAATTGAATGAAAACATCAGTTTAAAATTCACTTATTCAAATAATTTTGTGATTGAAATTTGAAATTGAAAAAAAATTTTAAAAAAGTTTGATGAAACAAGGGAGAATAAAGATGAATTTTTTTTTTTCGTAAATCGTAAATTTTGAATGAAAAACTTAATTATACTTAAACTTTTAATAGTAAGCTTGATCAGAAAACAATAATTTATAAAAGACGCGGTATCTAATGTTTTTTTGCTTTGATCTTACTCGTTTGGTCTATAGATTATAAACTTGTACAGGTCTATAGGCGCAAATATGAAGTTTATTTAGTTTATTAACTAGCTCAATTTTATTTATTTGCTACCTTTTTATTTTAAATGCATTTTATTTTATAAACTGTATACATCAAAATGAAACAGCTTCACAAATTTGTTTTACATTATTCCAAGCTCATATTTTTAAAACAACTTTGCAGTTTGTTTTAATGTTGTTTTATAGCTTTTAACAATTAAATACTTTTTTAAATTAACACGTGTTTTAACATCAGCATGAACGTTTTAAATAGTTTTCTTTGACTAATTAAAGTAGTTTAGATATTATAATGTTGCTTTTTCTCTTACTTTTTTACTTTTACTTTTTTAAGTATCATGTTAAGTAAAAATATACTTAAAGAAATATCTTAACAGTATTAAAAACGTTATTGTTTATTACAACTGCAACTTAAACTTTAAGTTATAACTTAAGTTGTAAATAATAACAGTAACTTACACTATTTTAAACTCTGCCAAACAAGAAAATTATAAGATTATATTTAAATAGAGATAATATGTAAAAAATAGAACAATTACGTACAAAACTTACAACTATATATAATGCAACTTCCCTCCCCCCTCCCCCCAATACATAATGTTTTAATAACCACTTCTTCACATAATACAATTCTTCTTAACTCTTTTATAACCACTTTTTTATGTGATACAATCTTTCTATCTCTTGTACAGATAACCTTACCACTTTCTCGCATTACAAAATCTTTTCGTTATATTTATATTAAATTTATAATATAAAATATATTTTTTACATTCATTTAGTTAAAACTATAGTTCAAACTAAACGATTATTTGCAACATTATAAATGATTGTTTAGTAAAAACATTAATTGACAAAAATACGGAAAAATAATTCAATAATTTAAAGTTTTTCAATCTCAAATTAGATTAAAGTATTATTCAATCAAAGTTTAATTGCAAAAATGTTTTTTCCTCTTGCGTTCTACGCAATAAAAAAGGCTATTCTAATATTAATGATCGAACTTTTTTAGTTTCAATTACCAAAAAGAAATGATTTTTTTAAGAAAACGATACAAGAAACATTTTTTTAAGAAAACGATACAAGAAATATTTTTTTAAGAAAACGATACAAGAAATATTTTTTTAAGAAAACATTTATTGATTAAAACTTTAACGGAATGAATATTTATTTAAAAAACAAACAAAATACTGTTTTTAATTGTAAACTTTTACTTTATTCTTAGCAAGTGTTCCAGATCCCAATTTCCTTTTCAAAGAAATAATTTTCTGTTGCTTTTTCTCGCATCTGTTTTATGATAATTTGAATACTTTTTATTTTACTTCTAAAACTAATTTTACTTCTAAAACTTATTTTCTAATAATTTTAAACAAAAACAATTTTATTTTGCTTAAAACACTATGATGTTTTATGAAGTCAACATTCTTTCTACCAATCATAAACTCGCATTATTTACTATTTTTCAAAATTTTTCACATAAAACTTTATTGTTTCTAAATAATATTGCAAATTAGATTCATTAAAAAAAATTAATTTCATTTAAAATAGTTCATTTTTTGCGTTTTGGTGTCGATGTTTTACTTTTGTCTTTTTAAGATTTTTGTGATGTTCGTTTTAAAATGTTTTTGAATTTTTAATATAAAGTTTGACATGCAATTCTTGCCAATCAAATTTAATTGTCCAGAATTGATTTTGGGAGATCAAAATATCATTTTTTCCAAAAGTAGACAATCACTATTTTGAGTGCTGATCTTAATATTCATGATATAATGATTCACTTGTTTACTTTTTTTGACTTTGAAATTTAAATTCTATACAACTTTTTTAACGTAAATTAATGCCAAACTGTTTTTAATAAAGAATAGATAACTTTTATACAGAATTTATGTTGTTTATTTGCAATGTCATATATTTCTTATTGCTAAACATACATACAATGTAAACATACATTGATATTACATATTATCCATTTAACAATGCTTAAAACATTTTACTAAAAGAGTTACATACTAATTAACAATAATTTATTATTTACTGAAGCTCGATTAGGTACTTTGAAATAAAAAGCAGCATAAAAAATGTTTATTTTGTTAATAAAACTCAAATAAATAAATAAAAAATTAAAACAATTTTTTTTAGAGTTTTTTTTAATGTTTACGATTTCAGAACAATTTACGGCTTCTACCATTACCTTCTACCAATGTTATCATACCATGATAACATTACAATCACATGACAACCTCGATCTACCATATGAAAAATAATAACATATTCTATTCGAATTAACACGAATTGTTAATTCAAATAGAATTTAAGTATTTTAAGACAATTTGATTTAATTTATAAGTATTTTAAGACAATTTGAATAAGAATTTGAATAAGAATAAGTATTTTAAGACAATTTGATTTAATTGAGAAGATCAAACACAGTAAAGAATTAAAAACATTAAATGCCTTTTTCTCAGAACAGCAAAAATGGACTTATGATCTTTTGAAAACAGTGTTAAAATGTTTTTTAAAAAAATGGTGAAATACTTTTAAAGTGGATTTTTATACTTTAACATCAGAGTACTTTCCTCAAGTTTTCAGACTTATGTTTTTATATGATTTAGAATCAGTATAATGTACTATAAAAAAATCAATCATAAAAACAGGAGGGGGTAGAAAGTCGAGTAGCGCAAAAAATGGCAATAATTAGCATTTTACAGTGTAATTTAGAAACTTCAACATCATATTAGAGTGCTTTCCTCAAATTTTCAGGTCAATGTTTTTCTACGATTTTTAATCAGCATGAAATTCTATATGGAAATCAATCATAAAATGATAAGGGTAGGCAATTGAAACAGTGTCAGTATCTTTAACTCAATGTACATTGAATTAAAAAGTTTATTCTCTTTTTTTTTTTCTTTAAAAAGATAATATAGGTAAATATCTTAAGTTTTAATTAACTATATTGAAAATCAATGTTTTTAATTTACTTATTTATTTTATTATTGCTGTAAAAGACGTTTTTGTAAAAAAAATCTATTTTATATTCTTATTATTAGTTATATTAGTAAAATGCGCATAGGTTTTGATTTGTATTTTTCATACATATAATTCTGACTAAAATCATTAAAACTTACCATTCTTAGAGATACAGAAATTTTATAAACTGTCTGGCATTCCTTACGTACAAATAGCCTTGCAGATGATAGCATTTTAGTCACGTTAGTCAATACCATAATAGTAAATCAAATCCTTTATAAAATTAACATAACCGTTCTGTTGAATGCGATTTTATCTTTATTATCTTTTTATTTATGGAAAAAAAACAAAATAAATTCATAAAAAGTAAACAAACGACCTATGACGCATTAATAAAATAAAATGCTTAGAAGCCCGCCAGCATGCTTAGTCAGAATAGGCCGCAATATGCGCAATCTGATTCGTTGGTTTTGAAAGAGAGGCCATTGTTAAAAATGTAATAAAAATCAACACAAGTAAATTTTCGAAATATCAAAGTAACAATATACAAGGTTTATCAATACAAGTTGTGCTATTATCAATACAGGAATCTCATTTTAATTTAGTTTAAAAGGTATCAAAATCTATTTATGCAAGAGAATTTTCACCCGTAAAATTTTTATAAAAGTTGATATGCAGTTGTGCCAGAAAACTTGTGAAGTACTTATCATAAAGTACTTCACAGGTTTTCTAGTACAACTGCGTGTAAATTGGCGCTACTGCAGTTTCTTCCTTCATGTATTTTATGATTGATTATTATAGAGAATTTTGTTTTTATTAAGAATTGTATAAAAATATAGGTATGAAAAATATAGGTCTAAACTCCATTTCTTGTGTGTTTTCTGATGCTCTTGCTGCTGGTGGCGGAAAGTGGGTTAAATATAGCTTTTAAAATTTTAACCGGACGGACCGATTGGAATCTTTAAAGCCATATTTAACCTTAGTCATAAAAAATATATAGTCTGGAAGCAAACAATAGCGCTTTGTTTATGTTTTTGTTCCAGAAATTACTCGTTCTCATTCTTCCAAAGGTGCACAGTAAACAAAAACATCTCAAAGCGAAAGTATCGATCTCCTTTTTTTCTTGTTACTTTTACATTAAATTTAAACAACTGTAATTTATTTTAGTGAATTGATTACAATTGTCTTTATTATTATTTGTTCTTGCAAGCTTGGCATTGTTAAAAAAAAAAATTTGTTCAAAATTATGCAAAATTACATTGTCCCATGTCAATAAGACGTTGTCTAATATTACTAAAAAAGATCAAAAGTCTATGATATAAATTTTCTTTAGCCTAAAAAATGACTTTAAAATAACTATGAAAATTAAAGACGAAAAAAAAATATATATATACATAAATATATACATATATATATATATATATATATATATATATATATATATATATATATATATATATATATATATATATATATATATATATATATATATATATATATATATATATATATATATATATATATATATATAGTCTTGCATGGTAGTCATAAAGTTTTTCTAATAAACTGTTGTTTTAAAGAGCACATTAATAAGCCTGACCAGAAAATGTTGAAAAACTTCAAAAAAAAACTTTTTTTAAATGATAGACTGCCTGCCCAAACCAAACCCTCAGTTGATGTAACAGCACTCCCTTGCGAGCCAGGCTATTTGTCAGTTGATGTAGCAGCACTCCCTTGCGAATCAGGCTGTTTGTCAGTCAATGTAGCAGCACTCTGTTGCGAGTCAGGCTATAAGATAGTTGATGTAGCAACACTCCCTTGTAGCAGCAGGCTATAAGATAGTCAATGTAGCAACACTTACGCATGTTTTAAAAATGTTTTTTAATAAAACAAAAACAAAAACACCACTAATTAAAAAAAACTTTATTAGTGATGTTTTTGTTTTTATTTTATTAAAAAACATTTTTAAAGCATGCGTAGATGTTGCTACATCGACTATCTTATAGCCTGACTCGCAACGGAGTGCTGCTACATCGACTGACAAATAGCCTGACTCGCAACGGAGTGCTGCTACATCGACTGACAAATAGCCTGACTCGCAAGGGAGTGCTGCTACATCGACTGAGGGTTTGGTTTGGGCAGGCAGTCTATCATTTGAAAAAAAAAAAAAAATTAAGTTTTTATACTTTTTCTGGTCTGGTTTATTAACGCGCTCTTTAAAACTACAGTTTATGGGAAACTCTTTTCAACTACCATGCAAGAGTATATATATATATATATATATATATATATATATATATATATATATATATATATATATATATATATATATATATACATATATATATTGAATATATTTAACAAAATAGAGTGCTTTTTTTTTTTTTTTTTTTTTTTTAGTTTACAATGTTAGTCGTGATACAAAATAATATAAGTCGTGATATATAATAATATAAGTCTGATACATATATAATAATATAAGTCGTGATATATAATAATATAAGTCTGATACAAAAAAATATTTAAGACTTCTACAAGAAAAGAAAAAAAAAATGAGTATATATATATATATATATATATATATGTATATACAATTCAGCGTACTAACAATATAAGACTAGGTTTCCGAAAGAAGATCAGAAGGATCTTATCACCGGAACCTTAAAAAAGACATAATGCAAAGATTTAACATAATGCAAATATGCAATATACTAATACAATATAACATAATGCAAATATACAATATACTAACATTTTAATACTCAATATGCTGAAGATTTGAAAAATACATTTTACATAAATTTTTAGTAGAATTTTAGAATGTTGTCCATACAGAGCATGAAGTTTTTTAATTTAGTTTTAAAAACAGGAAGAGTAGTAGAAGGGTCAAAATTTGGTAATACTATTTTATTCCAAAGATGGGGTGCACGATATGCAATACAGAATTGGTTGAACTTCGTTTTACAAAATGGTTCATTTAGAAAACTATTACTTCTTAATGTGTATTTATTTATTGGTTTTAAAGAAAAAAGGTCATTGAAAACAAATAAAGATAAATCGTTTTTCCACATAAAAGTAAAACATAAAACATTAAATATGTTAAGTTTATAAACATCTAGTACATTCATATAATCAAAAAAATATTTCGAACGTGAAAAGCGATCCGCATAATTAACTACACGGATTGCATGTTTCTGACGGCGATAAAGATGTTGTAATTTACTTTTCTCCGTACTTCCCCAGGCTATGATTGCATAATTTATATAATTATGTATAAATGAATAATAGAGCTGGGTTAAGTTTTTTTTGTTTAGATAATTTCGAGCTTTGTATAAAATGCCAATATTTTTAGAAACTTTGGTGCTTATATGATCAATATGCTTTCTCCAAGTAATATTTTCATCAAGATAAACACCTAAGAATTTTATAACAGTATCTCTTTTTATTATAGTTTCATCAATGTAAATTTGAGGCATATTATTTGTTAAAAATCGTTTTTTTGCGCAGGAGTGAAAAATAATCCATTTTGTTTTGTTAATATTTAAAGTTAATTTATTAGCTTTGAACCAGTTCGAAATGTGTTTGAGTTCTTTGTTTGTAGTTGAAAAGAGTTCATAAATATCAGTATGGGATAAGAAAAGATTAGTATCATCAGCGAACATTATACTTTTCAATTTGGAAGCTTTGTTTAAATCCACTGATCTCAAAATATAACTGGATAGCGTATACGGCAAATTTTTTGAAGTCAGTTTTGGCCTCCCAAGATGGCGGCGTATTTGTTTATTACAAATTTAGAAATTTTCGTAACGAACTTTTATATCTTTTTTTATATAAAAATAGATGTACAAGTCTCAAATACAAATATAGTTTTTGGTTTTACATAGCAACAATATTACATATTTACGTAAATTTCTAAAATATTTATAATATTTTGTTTAACAAAATATACTCTAAACAGTAAGTTTGTCAGTAAGTTTATTTTATTTAATTTCTAAACAGTAAGTAATTTCTAAACAGTAAGTTTGTTTGTCATTAAATCTTTTTTTTTTGTAAAAAATTTGATTAAATAGGATAAAAAATTTTAGTTAAATTAATTAGAAACTAGTTTATTTTAACATTAGTAAAGAGCACACAAAAAAATAGTACCTAAAACCTAGTAGATAAACTACTAGGTTACTCTATATAACTAGTGATAACTTATTATTAATAGCTTATTACTATTTATAACCTATTAGTTATTAGTTATAACTAGTTATAACCTATTAGTGGAATTAAAATAAGACTCTAGTAGTTATTAACAATTTCTAGACAACTAAAATAAATGTTTGAAATGTGAAAGACTGAAATCATTTTAATCATTTTTTATTTTTATATGATATACAGATAAAAAGTTTATTTATGGAAAAACTAAAATGAAAAGTAAAAAAATGGTGTATTATAACATTTATATAGTTTTACCATAAATTAATTGTTTAATATTGCTTTTTATACAATTTATGTACCTTTTAGTTCTTAACTACCCAATGCTGTGTGCTAGAAGGTTAATAACATAACTGCATGGTAGGCAGCTGAATATCTTTTTAAAATTAACTTTTAATTAGTTTTTTAAATAGATATTATAAATTTACAAATGCTGCATGAACTATTAGCTGAGCTCTGTGAGTATACACAACTCAGGGGTTCCTTCTAGAATTTTTTTATATGTAATTATTTGTACATTATTTTTTATTTGGTTGTACTCTTCTAAAATCACTACACACACATATATTTTTGTATATATATATATATATATATATATATATATATATATATATATATATATATATATATATATATATATATATATATATATATAATATATACATATATACATATTATATACATATTGTAAAAATATAAATATGTACATTTAATGCAGATTATTTATTTTATATCATTTTAGCTGTTTATCCAGCAATCTATGAAATTTTTTGAATTCAAATAGTATGCTGCAATTTGAAATATCTGCATAATCGTGGTCAATATTACCAAGATTATGCAGATATTTGTGATTATTCCATTTTAATATTGAACGCTCAAGATCATATATATGTGACATCAAGATATATATGTGGCTGTGAATTGTTGGCAATTGATATTGTTGTTAAACATTCCCGCACAGCTCTAATAAAAAGCTTATATATTTAATAATTTTATGGTTTATAATAATTTTATTTATAATTTTAACCTACTTTTCCCACTCAGTTTAGAAATATATCTTAAACAGATTTAATAGCTACCAACTATCCAATAAAACCAGTTTTTAGACCAGACAATATTATAAAAATTTATAAAATTGTTTAACTGCAACATGCATTTAATTAACATAAAAGTCAGCAAACTATAGCATATAACCATAATACTT